TTCCTCGACCCCTCTCTCGCATCCCACCTTCTTCTCACTCTCTTCCACCCACTGTCTCCCTCCACCCTTTCTCTCCCCTCCCCTTTCTCCCTCACCCCCCACGCCCCTCTCTCTAATCTACATGTCTCTCTCTGTTCCCACTCTCTCTGTAGTCATTTACTTTCTGTCTGTCTCTCTATCTCCATCCCTCATTTTATTTTATTCTCTCTCTATTCAGTCTCTCACTTTATTCTCTCTGCCTTCGCGCTCTCTCTCTCTCTGTCTGTCTACCCCAGCCCCAGCCCCTCTCTCTCTCTCTCTCTTACCTCACTCCCTCCCCCGTCTCTCTCTCTCTGTCTGTCTACCCCAGCCCCAGCCCCTCTCTCTCTCTCTTACCTCACTCCCTCCCCCGTCTCTCTCTCTCTCTCTCTGTTTCCTGCCCTCTCCCGGATGCTCCTTCTCTCTCTCTCTCTTCCTCTCTCTCACACTCAGTCACTGTGTGCAGCAGCGGGTTCCCGGTCCCGGGGAGATTACGGGATCCCCGTCGGACCCGCCACCGGAGGCAGCTTCAAATCCCGAGCGAGAGCTCGCCAGCGGGGAGAATCCCCACCGGGAACCCGGGAGCCGCAGCCTCCGAGCGGCCAGGAACACCCACCAGGAGCCGCTCCTTTTGTTCGGGAAGCGGGCGGCACCCAGGACCCAGCACTGTCCCGGGACAGCGGAGTATCTGACCCGGGAGACATATCCATCGCCTTCCCTCCCGCCTGGAATCGACCCCATGGGAGCAAGGAGACAGGGATTTATCCCGGGATAGAGTATTATCCCCGGGACAGAGGTAGGGATAGACAGGAGGCTGTATCCTGAGAGCAGAGAGAGCGACTTATTCCCAGGATCGAGAGAAAGGCTTATCCCTGATTTATCTTGGGACAGACCGTGGAGTTTCCCTGTCAAAGGCCAAAAAAAAAGGATCTATCCCAGGATAGAAAGATTTATTCCAGGGCAGAGGGATTTATCCCGGGACAGACAGAAGGAGATTCCTGGCCCAGAGGGATTTATCCCGGGACAGGAGTTCCCTGGCCCAGAGGGATTTATCCCGGGGCAGACAGAAGGAGTTCCCTGGCCCAGAGAGAAGGAGGAATTTATCCCGGGGCAGATGGGGACCTGAGCGATTCCATGAGGTGTGCGGGGGGTACCTGACGATGGGTTGGGTGGGTGAACAACTGACTGTGTGCTCCCAAGGGTCCAAGTGTCAGGGTCTGAGTATGAGGGTATGGAATGTGAAGGTCTGATTGTGAGGGTCCGAGTGTTGGGTATTGAGCGAGGGTCCGAGTATTGGGTATTGAGCGAGGGTCCGAGTATTGCGTATTGAGCGAGGGTCCGAGTGTTGGGTATTGAGCGAGGGTCCGAGTGTTGGGTATTGAGCGAGGATCCGAGTGTTGGGTATTGAGCGAGGATCCGAGTGTTGGGTATTGAGCGAGAGTCCAAGTGTTGGGTATTGAGCGAGAGTCCAAGTGTTGGGTATTGAGCGAGGGTCTGAGTGTTGGGTATTGAGTGTGAGGGACTGATTGTGAGTGTCCGAGTGTTGGGTACTGAGTATGAGGGTTGAGTATTGAGTGTGTGTTTTGAGTGTCTGTAATGTGTCAGGGTGAAAGACATGGTGTTTGGCCGTAGATCTGGGTCTGGCTCTGTCCCATATGGCATAGTCTGAAGGTCACCACCTTTGAGACCCCATCGATTTCTCAGTGAGACAGGGTGACCCAGGGGTGAAGTTGGTGGTGGGTGGGTGGAGCAGGTTTTAGTGACCAGAGCCAGGGGCAGGATTGACCCCTTCACATTCCACCAGTGACTGGGTCGAAACTCCACAATGACATCCCCTCCTCAGTGGAAGATTCAGCTGCTGGAGAGGAAGCGAAGGGATGAGGAAGAGGGAAGGCGCAAGGAGAAGGAAGAGCAGGAGAGGCTGGCCAGAATTCCGGCCTGGAAGAGGGAGATCATCGAGAGGAGGCGGGCCAGGCTGTGCCCTGGGACATCGCCATTGGAAATACAGGCTGAGGGTCAGGCTGGGTCTAGCCCGATGGGCTCTGCAGCCAAGACTGGGACTGATGGGATGGAGCCTGAGGCCTGCGTTGCCGTGGCGACGGACAGCGTGGTGCTGCGGGAGAACATTGGGCCCCTGCGCCAGAATCACTTCATTCAGCGGGAGAAGCAGAGGAAGGGAGGTTCGGAGCTGGAGCAGGCCCCTCTGGGAGTCCCAGGGACCGAGGTGACCTGTCACACCCCAGGGGTGACAATCATACAGGCAGACGACATGACCATCATCGAATCTGGGCCCAGGCTCCCAGGCACCGGGGAGAAGCTGCCGAGCGTGAACGGCCTGCCTGGTCAGCAGGGGACTTGTCGGCCTGATCTCCGGTCCCCCTTGAGCAGGAGCGTGGAGGATCTGAACTCCTTTGGGAAGTGCCGAGCGGAGGTGGGAGAGGAGGGCCCCGGACGGGGAAGGGTCAGCCGCCTACTGTGCAGGTTCGGCCAGCGGGGGCGCACCTGGGTGGCCGGGGTTGGCGGGGGAGAGGACGAGGCGGAGGCTCTGGCGGCACGGCCATCTCGGTCCCGCAGCACCGAGAACATTCTGGAGCGCCCGGGCCGCTCAGGGGCACCCTCTGCCCCACCGCGGAGCCCTCATGCCCCGCGCCGAGGACGCAGGCCCCAGTCCCGCTCTCCCCCCACCACCTCCCCTCCGCGCACGGTCTCCACCTCCTGCAGCCGCTTCGAGGCCCGGTTGGCGACGGAGACCCCAGGCCGAGCCGGCAATGAGGAGGAGGCCCAGCCCGCTAGGCCGGGGTCCCGGGGGATGGTTGGGGAGGGAGGAGGAGGAGGACGCCCCAGGCCTGGTTCTGTGGGCAGCGGGAGGCGGGATCCAGACTCAGGCCCTGGCGTAGCAAGGGACGGCAAGGCTGAACCCAGGGAGGCCCAGGCTCTGGTTGATGGCCAGGCCGCGCCCTCCAAGCAGCAGCAGCAGGAGGAGGAGGAGGCCGAAGCCTCCGTCCTCCTCCCCCACCCACCCTCCCCCAGCGACGTAAACACTCTCGGCTCCTCCAGGCCACAGCAGCCTGTCAGTGTGGCTTCCTCTTCCTGTGCAGAGCAGGCCCCTGCTGCTTCCTGCGTTCCTGCTGTTGCTACTGCTGGCGCAGCGACAGACCGGAGACGCACCGGAGAGGCTGGACCCCAGGGCGGGACGCCTGAGCTAGGCCCGGACAGGGCCCCCTTCCCCGAGCCCAGGCCGGATCCAGACACCAGTCGGGGGGGGCCAAGCAGCAACATGAGCAGGCCGCAGCCTCCCACTGTGGGCCCCCGGGAAGCCAGGCTTCCGGCCTTCCCCGTCCGAGCCAGCTACGGAGGAGGAGGGGGGGGAGTGGTCACCCAGGAGACAGAGGGTGCCAACGACGGAGGGCGGGGGCGGCAGGGTACCCTGTCGCCCGTGCCCTCGAGGCCAGGCCCCGGGGCGGCGTCGGAGGACGGCGAGGGGAGGCTGCGGCCTACCTTCTCTCCCGGCCCCCAGCGCAAGTCAGGGAGAACCATCACCATCAACCCCCGCAAGATGGCAGCCAACAAGACCCCGTCTCCCGGCAACGCCACGACAACAGAGAACGGCATCTCGGGGACGCCGCCCGCTGGCTCGCCCGCTGCCCCGGCAAAGAAACGGTACCCGACGGCTGAGGAGATCCAGGTGATCGGCGGCTACCTGACGCTGCAGAGGTCATGCCTGGTCAAGTCCGGCGTCAGCCGAGGGAAGGTAAGAGGCACGCCCCGGGGTGGGGGGGACGGTGAATCAGGCAATGGGGCACTCCCAGAAGGTGGGCGCTGGAGGAGGGCGGAGGTAGGGATAGTGTGAGGGGTACGTTCATCGAGGGGTTTAAGCTGTAAAGACTCCACAAGCTTGATGTGCCAGCACGGGGAGAACTGTTCCTCACCATCACTGTTCCATCACATGTCTTTCTCTCCCTTCCTCCTTCCTGTCTCTCTCGTGTGCGCGTGGGAGTGAACGAATGTGTTTGTATGTGTGTGTGTGTGAGACAGTGAATGTATTTGCATACCTGTGTGTGTGAGAATGTAAGTGTGAGTGAATATGCGTGTGTGTGTGTGAGAGAGAGAGACAGAGTGAATGTATTTGCACCACTCTCTCTACCTTGCCATCTTTCCCTTTCTTCCCCATTCTTTCCCTCTCATTCTGCCTATCTCTAACTCGATTCACTTCGTGCTCTCCCTTCATGGGGATTATCTTTGTACAAAGTGACTGCCGTGACTACGACCAGTAATTGTACTTCAAAAGGGATTACGATGATTGGCTATGATTCGCTTCTGGATTCTCTGAGGTTGTGAAAGTGGTTAAAGTCGATGCAAGTTTATACCGTTTCTCTTTAGCTCCATCTGACCCCTTCCAACATTTCCATTCTTTCTCTTCCACCCGCTTCCTGGCCACTCTCTCTCTTTCTCTCTCAGTGAATGAAATGAATGTGGTTCTACCATTCTCAGCACTCCTTTCCTGCGAACAGCTGGCTAGTCTCTGCCGCTGGGCTTGTTCATGTGTCTGTTGTAATCAGATAGTTATGCACTGCTGAATTCCTTGGCATAGTTCCATATGTTATAGATCCATCCACTTCGCTTAAAGATTCACTGTGGGACACTGCTTCTTTGTGCCTTTGCAACTCGTCAGTGCAGTAAATACAAAATAACGCTCTCCGCTGGTAGGGGTGAGGGGGAGGAAATAGAAAGAACCAGCTACTTTCCTGGCATGTTGCGTGCAATCAGACCACAATTCTTGTAACCCTGTGTGCATGGCGAATTATTGTTTGTGACGTTCTCTATAGACATGACTGGGGAGTGCAATGATCTGTGTTTGCACTCCAGTCTGTTAATGTCTAACGTTGGTATACATTATGTCACATAGACCCTACAGTGGAGTGTTCTCATCACAGTGAACAGGAACTTGTGCTTATAGATTTTCTTTGGTGAAGCCTATGAAGAGAAACAGAAGCACAGCACCCAGGTGAAGGCTTGGAGGTTGGGTGAGAGAGTTACATTTAGAGACATAGAGATGTACAGCATGGAAACAGACCCTTCGGTCCAATTCATCCATGCCAACCAGATATCCTAAATTAATCTCGTCCCATTTGCCAGCATTTGGTCTATATCCCTCTAGTCCCTTCCTATTCATATACCCATCCAGATTCTTTTTAAATGTTGTAATTGTACCAGCATCCACCTGGCAGCTTGTTTCATATACCCACCACTCTCTGTATGAAAAAGTTGCCCCTCAGGTCCGTTTTAAATCTTCCCCCTCCCACCTTAAACCTATGCCCTCTAGTTTTGGACTCCCAAACCCTGGGAAAAAGACCTTGGCTGTTTACCCTATCCATGCCCCTCATGATTTCCTCAGCCTCCTCCGCTCCAGTGAAAAAAAGTCCCAGCCTACCCAGCCTCTCCTTATAACTCAAACCCTCCATTCCCAGCAACATCCTCGTGAATCTTTTCGGAACCGCCTCCAGCTTAATAATATCCTACCTGCGACAGGGTGACCAGAACTGGACACAATGCTCCAGAAGAGGCCTCACCAATGTCCTGTACAACCTCAATATGATGCTCCAGGGAATATAGCCCCAAGCTATTCAGCTTCTCAGTTTAGGTCAAACCCTCCAGTCCCGGCAACATCCCTGAAAACACTCTTAACACTTTATCAGAGAGAAGTATTTAGAGGACAGGGATTAGTTCCCCCATGGGATTTGGCTTTCACTGGCTAGGACAATATTTATTGCCTCTCCCCAGATATCCCCAGAGAAGGTGGCGGTGGGTGAGCTGCTTCTTCATCTACTGCAATCTTTGAGGTGCAGGGAGATCTACAGCACTGTTAGGGAGGGCATTCTGGGATTGTCACCCAGTGACAGTGAGGGATAGTGGTTCCTGTTGTGTTGATGAAGTGGGAAGGCTGCACAAGGACTTGGACAGGCTGGGAGAGTGGTCAAAAAAGTGGCAGATGGAATGCAGTGTGGGAAAGTGTGAGCTTATTCACTTGGTAGCAAGAGCAGAGGCCTGGACTGTCTTCCAAATGGGGAAAGGTTTCGGAAATCTGAAGCACAAAGGGATTTGGGAGTCCTGGTTCAGGATTCTCTTAAGATTAACATGCAGGTTCAATGAGCAGTTTAGGGCAGCAAATGTAACGTTGGCATTCATTTCAGGGGGGCTAGAACACAAGACCAGGGATGTACTGCTGAGGCTGTGTATGGCTCTAGTCAGACCGCATTTGAATATTGTGAACAGTTTTAGGCCCTGTATCTAAGGAAGGCTGTGCTGGCATAGTAAAGAGTCCAGAGGAAGTTTACAAGAGTGATCCCAGGGATGAAGGGCTTGTCATTGTGAGGAACGGTTTCTATTCAATGGAATTTGAAAAGATATTGGCGAATACTGAGAGGCCTGGATAGAGTTGACGTGGACAAGATGCGGAGAGAGAAGTGGTAGTGGAGAAGATTTTTCTACTAGTAGGAGAGACTAGAACCAAGGGCACGGCCTCAGTATGAAGGGGCGACCCTTTAGAACTGAGGTGAGGAGGAATTTCTTCAGCCAGAGGGTGATGAATCTGTGGAACTCATTTCCGCAGAGGGGTGTGGATGCCAAGTTATTGAGTATATTTAAGACAGAGATAGGTTTTGATCGGTAAGGGGATTAAGGGTTACAGGGAGAAGGCAGGAGAATGGGGTTGAGGAACATATCAGCAGGCTGAAAGGTCAAATTCTGCTCCTATGTTTTATGGTCAGGATGGCATGTAGCTTGGTGTAGGCTGTGTGGGCAGTGATGCTCCAGGGAGCAGGTTAAATCAGCCATGACAGATTAGTGGGATGGAGGGAAGAGAGGGAACCATTAGAGGGGGGAAAGATGGAAGCTTGGGGGAAGCACCGTGGCTCAGTGGCTTAGCACTGCTACCTCACAGCACCAGGGACCTGAGTTCAATTCCTCCCTCAGGCGACTGTCTGTGTGGAGTTTGCACATTCTCCCCATGTCTGCATAGGTTTCCTCTGGGTGCTCCAGTTTTCTCCCACAATCCAAAGATGTGCAGGTTAGGTGGATTGGAAATGCTAAATTGCCCCTCAGTGTCTAGGGATGTGCCGGTTAAGTGGGTCAGCCGTGGGGAAATGCAGGGATGTGAGGGGTGGGTCTGGGTTTGATTGGGATGCTCTGAGGAGGATCAGTATGAATGACCTGCTTCTATGATTCCATGACTGCAGAAAATTGGAGCAATGGATTGGGGGGGCAAACGCGACGATTTTGAACTGTGCATTACAAGGTTGAGGTTGGTTGCATTTTGGAGCATGTTTGAATATTGAAGCAGTTGGGTCCGGGGAGTGACAAGAACAGGGGTATAAAGTATTTTCGGCAACATTAGATCAGTTCAAGATGAACGCAGAGGGCTAAGTCATAAAGATAGGCTGCAAAAACTTGGCCTCCTGTCACAGTGAACTAATCGAAGCGATTAAAGGCAGTCAGTACGTCCAGTAGGTGAGAAAGTGTTTCCACTAGCAGTGAGGGGTAGGGAGAGAAATAAAGACCTCGGTAGGAGAGCATAATTTCTCAACATAATCTAGAAGTGGGTTCGAGAACAAAATCAGGTCGGTATTTTTCACACCCAGGGCAGTGTGGAAACCTGAAAATCTCCCATCCCCACCAAAATAAATTGCGGTTCCTGGAGATCAATATGCAAACAAATCGGAAGTTAACAAAAACCGAAGTTGCTGGAAAAGCTCAGCAGGTCTGGCAGCATCTGTTGAAGAGAGAAAAAAAATCAGAGTTAACGTTTCGGGTCCGGTGACCCTTCCTCAACTTCTGTCTTTGTTCCTGATTTACAGCATCCGCAATTCTTTCGGTTTTTAAATCAGAAGATAAGCTTAGGTAAACTTGGTTATCAGTTATGTTCGAGTAGGTAAACAAGGTTATCAGTAATTATCGACTGAAATAGTACGGTACTCTCTCCCTCTCTCTCTCTCTCTCTCCGGAGTGCTGATAAAGTGCCTACTGACGTGCTCATCCTCCCTTCCACACGGTCCTGCATATGTGGTTTACAGCACAGTATTTGTGCTGAAACACGTGTAATCTTGCCTCTGGCCAAAGGAAATGAAACAGAATGAGACAGCAAGAGAACGTTTGCATTTCTATAGCAAACCTTCCTCGACATCCCCTCCCCCCACAAAAAACCCGTCCCAAAAAGTGGTGCCAAACCTAAACATCATTCATAATGTCGTTTAACGGGTTAGTGGACATCAGCCCGAGAAAGCCCCCTGGATTGCCTTAAAATACCATCATTTCTTTCTCTTTTTTTCACTTGTAAATATATTGTAAAACATTTTTTTAAGAAAGAGGCAGGAAATAACAGTTCAAATTTGACAAAAGCACGAGGTGCTAAGCGTGTCAATTTCTTTCAATGCAGTGCATGGGGTGCTTCCAAACCCTCGGACGGCAAACAGCCCCTGAGTGGAATGGAAAGGAGAATTAATTAGAGAGTAATTCTGTTCCCATTTGAGAGCCGATGCCTCAAACATTACTGTATCCCTCAACATAATGTCCCTAGAACTGCAAAGTCAGCAAACACACAACTAGAGCTCTGTCTCACAGATGACAAGGTGTAGAGCTGGATGAACACAGCAAGCCAAGCAGCAGGAAGGCTGACGTTTCGGGCCTAGACCCTTCTTCATTCAGTTCCTGCTATCTCTGTCTCACAGACTTAGACAAACATCTCCCCCAAGCAGGACTCGAACCCGCAACCTGTTATCTCTGAGATATGAGAGTTACTGCAGCGAGCCACAGCTGACCAAATTCTCCTCCCTACCCCCGCCTTGGAGCAAAGTGCTTCACTGCATGTTCCACTTCCTGCCTGTGACAACCCATCCACATGCCTCAGCCCCTTTTTTTTTTCCGGATTGCAACCCTGGTTCGGAAGGATATAACGCTCCAAGTGACACTTGCTCCACGGCTCCCCAGAGAGGAAACCAGGAAGTGACTGCAGGAAGGGGATTTCCTTTGCAGGCTTGAGAGTTAACAGTGGAAGCTGTGGTTGTTTTTGGAGCAAAGGGGAAATTTAAGAGTAATTGGGGGTGGGGGGAGGGTGTTATTGTTGTAGACTGGAATAGAGTCATACAGCACAGAAACAGGCCCTTCCACTTATCACGTCCATGCCACCAACACCAAACCACACTAATCTCTTCTTATCGTCTTTGATTCATTGCCTATTATCACTTGGAACTTGTTCAGGCCTTTGAGTATAGCAGTTGGGACGTCATGTCAGGGGTTGTACAGGACTTTGAGAGGCCGCTTCTGGATCACTGTGGTCACCCAGTTATAGAAAGGATATTATTAAGCTAGAGAGGGTTCAGAAGAGATTTACCAGGATGTTGCCAGGAATGAAGGATTTGAGTTATGAGGACAGGCTGGGACTTTTTTCAATGGAGAGCTGGAGGTTGAGGGGTGACTTTGTAGAGGTTTATATAATCATGAAGAGTAGAGGTAAAGTGAATGGCAGGTGTCTTTTTAGGGTGGGGGATTTCAAGACTAGGGGGCATATTTTTATGGTGAGAGGGGAAAGATTTGGAAAAGACATGAGGGGCAATTTTTTTTACACAGAGGGTGGCTCGCATGTGGAATTAACTTCCTGAGGAAGTGATGGAAGTGGGCACAGTTACAATGTTTAAAAGACAGTTGGATAAGTACATGAATAGGAAAGGTTTGGAGGGATATGGGCCAGGAGCAGGCAGGTGGGACCAGTTTAGTTTGGGATTATGGTCAGTATGGACTGGTTGGACCGAAGGGCCTGTTTCCGTGCTGTGTGACTCTATGACTCTGCACTGGTACTTTAAGTACTCTGGAGGTTCACAAGCACCTATGGAAAAGGGAGTTGCTTAAATACTTGAAGTGAAAGCGAAAGGTGCAGAGTTATTGGGAAGGAGCAGCAACAGAGTGGAACTTAATAATGTAAAAAAAAACAGAAAGTTCAGGCGAAACTCAGCAGGTCTGGAAGCATTTATAGAGAGAGGGGAAAAAATACCAAGAAAGTTTTTCAGTCTTCTTTGGGGAGGGAGTGGGACTTTTGGAGATAGTAAGAACTGC